TACTTAGGAACAAATCAAGCTTGTTCTCTTTTTGTTTAAAATTTAAGTTATAGGACCATAATATCATGGGTTTTTTGAGTCTGCCTGTATCCTTTTCTTGCTTCAACAAATATATTTTTTTTTCCTTTCCAGGTTAAACGGCTCCACACCATTCAACTTCTCTTAGATTTTTTTTTCTGACCCCTCAACATTCTAATTACCCTATTGCACATACTCTAGTAATGTCCCTCATAAAATGTGGCACCTTGAAATATATAGAAAATGAAGAATTTTATTCAACATCACCAATAATCAATAAATAGGAATTATTAAACTCAGCAATGTATTAGTCATCAAAAAGGGCAGACACAGAAGTATATGGCACACTATTCTTGGCTTCAAAGAGTTTCGAATCTAATTGGAAATGAAAATTGCAATTTTAGATTATATTAAATATTATTAAAATATTACAGGGGACACTCAGCTCCTGGCTGAGGCTTCCCAAATTGATATCAAATTCACAGGTCTGGCTGCCTGCCCCCAGATAAAAGAAAACCACCCAAAAGTCAAATGTTGGGGAAAATGGAAGTCAGCTTATATTCGGGAATACTGGTGACCTGAGGAGAGGTAGTAGGCTAACCCATCCCTCAAGTAAATCTGAAGAAGAATGGCCAAGCTAAAGCCATCTCAAAGACTCAGGTTTACTGAGGCTTTTTAAAGAGGGGGATGAGAGAACTGGACACGGGAAAATGAGAAGCATGAGGGAGGGGCACGCGAGCACCCAGAGCTTCGTTCACGGTCTCAGGTGCAAGGTCTCTCCAAGACTCTGTCTGGTTTCTGCTTCTGTGCTTATCTCAGGGTCTGGGCAGTAACTGCAAGTCTGCAGCTTCAGGCTGACTGGAAAACTTTACTTTCACATAAGTAATGTCATCTTGCCCCATAACCAAGGTCTGAAATATCAAATATCCATGGGAAAGAGAGAACTCAAAGCCTTTTAAAATTTGCTTACAGCCCATGAAGTTTTAGGTCCCAACATGGCTTCAGTCCTGCTCACTCCAACAAAAATAAGCATTACGTCTCAGAAGGTTCAGAGATATGTGTTCTAGAATTATTTCTGGAAATTCCTAGGTTCTAACTAGGGCTGGGTACTGAAAGCTACATGGATGTGAACATTCCGAGTGTAAACAAGCCCCCAAGTTGTCAAAAGAAGCACAAATATTACTAGTGCTAAAAATGAAACCCATATATTTTTGTTCTGTTTGCTCCTTTCCCCACTGTTCTGTTTACTCCTTTAGTCAGAAAAAGGAAATATTTGCTTGAGATAGCAAATTAGTGATCGAATCCACAATTTTTGGAAAGGCCATTGGAATTTAAACTTAGCAAAATTCTAGTTTGCGTTTGTTGCCTCTTTAGACTGCAGTCAGTGAAAGCCGTTAAGATTATTTTTGACTCGAATTGCCTTTTTGATTGATTTTAGGTACCGCTCAAGCTAAAATGACAGATTCTCTTTTCCTTCAAAAAAAATAAAATAAAAGTTAGTCCTGTCTAGACAGGAAAACTGGAACGTAACCAGATAGGCTGCGTTTCCGGAACCTATTTGCCCTTTAGCAAGATGGTGGGCGCTTTGCGCACATGCGCAGAAGAAATGCCTGGGCGGGGAGTTCCGCCGCGTGGGATCGCGCCCCGGGCAGGGATTGGCGGCGTGCCGGCTGAGGGGCGGAACCGGAAGCGCTTGTGTTATGATACTAAGCCGGTTCATTTCTGCGGTCCTTGGTGCGTTTGGCTTCCCGCTGCAGGTGCTGGCTTTGCCAAGGTTGCCATGGGGGAAGCGGAGAAGTTTTACTACATTTACAGTTGTGACTTGGACATCAACGTGCAGCTTAAGATGTAAGAATATTCTGGGGACGGGGAGTGGGATTGTTGGTCCGTAGGGACGGGGAGGCAGGGGACTGTGGATGGTGGGGAAAAAAGATGGTGACGGGACTGAAGGCCGGGCTGGGGGCGGGGGAGCGTGTGGACAGGCAAGCAGAGGAGAATGGAATTGTGGAGGGTCGTGTGGGAGAAAGATTGGGGACCTGGTCTCTGTGAGAAGGACAGCGGTAGGAAAATACCTTTTAAGTCCCACAGTCTTCAAAGCGTTTTGCTGTTCACAACACCCTCTTGAGAGATAATTACTGGCTCAGTTTACAGACGAAGAAATCAAGTCTCAGTAAAGTCGTAGTCCTGCCGTTGTTAAGAGAAAGATCGTTACTTTAAAATGGGACTGGAGACTGCAGAAATTATGGAGAGGTAGACACAGGCTGATGTGATAGTTGAGAAAAAGGTGAGCACATGGGTGTAGTGTATTGGCAGCATAGAAGGTGCTAGAGGCTTAGGTTGAATTTTTGAGCAGAGTGGCATTGTTAAGCCAGGGAAGTTGGGAGTGAGTCGAAAATGAGGGTGCCAGTTGCAAAGGGACTAAGAAGATAGGAGAAAAGAGTCTTGCAGGAAAACCGTGGGGCACCACGGTTGAAGAAAAGGTCAAGGGCATGACTTTTTGAGATGAGAATAATGGAACTGATGGAATAATGCGGGACGAGTGGGACCTAGTTGGAAATTATGTCCCTTTTAAGGTGGTGGTGTAGTTTTTTCATCTGTCAAAGCTATCAAAAATTATTAGCCACACATCATTCATAATCAGTATACATTTTTTGTGTATGCCCAGTCAATATTCAATAAATGTGTCAGAGGGCTGCTGCCCGTAGAATGTGATAAATACATTTTCTCAGAGTTGCTTTTGAATGAATTTTTTTTTCTGATCCCACAACATTCACAAATGTTACTTTACATCCTTTGTTATTCAGTTTGTGGTGGTGGTAAAAATAATGCCAACAACCAAACTGTACCTTTATATGATACTTTATGCCTGTAATTATGGTAATTTCTGTAGCATACACCACACCAGAAGCTTATACGGGACCTGTATTGTTATCCTCTGGTAAAGGACTTTCCTTCAGTATGGTTCCTCTCAGTATTTTTTGGACATATCAATGCATTTTTTTAAACTTTTGAACATTAGAAAGAATGAAATCAAAAGAACTGGGCTATTGTTAACGTACGCACAGTAATATATACATTGAACCAAAGATAAAGCGTAAAGCAGAAGGTTAGCAAAATTCAATACTAACGGTCTTTTAGCTTCTTCAATTTTTTTTTTTTTTTTTAGGTCAGAAAACATTTATTTAGAATCATGTAATCAAGAATAGTAAATTATTTTATTTTATTTTTCTCCCAGGCTGTTTCATCTATTTCTAAGACTTTAATAACAACTTTCACTTTCTATGGTTTTAATAGCTTGTACTTGTCTCTTTTCTTAGTTCCGTATTTGAATATCAAACTGCCCACAAGACATGGTCACTTTGGATATCCCAAAGCACTATAAAGGCAGCTTGTCCAAAGTTGAGCACATTATTATTAGCTTATCACTCTTACTCTAATCTTCATGTGTTCTCTTACCCTATTTTGGTGATAGCATCATCCCTCAAGTTTAAGACAGAAAACTGTGGGTCATACTGACACCCCTCTTTTACCATCTTTGTTCAATCACTCACCAAGTTGTCTTGAATCTATCTGTTAGTCTTTTTTTTTGCCTTTATATATGCTCTTCTTTCCCTTTGGGATGACTTCCTACCTCTTTTACTCCCATCTACTATATATTGTTCAGGCTCATTTCAGGCATCTACTTGGGGTACAAAGTCCTTGCTCCCAAGCCAGGATTGGTGCTCCTAAGACTCTTTGATTTACCTTGCTAAGGTATGAAGAACATTGGTTTTGCCCTTCTTGCCCTGGTTTTTATTCTCAGCTCTGTTACTTTCTTTGTGACCTTGGATAATGAGTTTGATCTCTTAGCCTCTGCTTCCTCATTTATAAAATAAGAGTATGGATTAAATTAAGCAAGAAAAGGGGCGAGCCTGTGGCTCACTTGGGAGAGTGTGTTGCTGATAACACCAAGGCTACAGATTCGGATCCCTATATAGGGATGGCTGGTTAGCTCACTTGGGAGAGCGTGGTGCTGACAACACCAATTGAAGTGTTAAGATCCCCTTACCGGTCATCTTAAAAAAAAAAAAATATTAAGCAAGAAAGAGTATTTAATACGCCTGGCATAATATCTGACATAATTTTGATGTCCAAGAAATGCTCCTACCTATTTAATAGTATCCTGTGTATATTTTTTATGACTATTAACACTGTTTTAACTTAAATAAAAGACCAGATAATACATGTACATAGTTAAGAAAACAAGAGTACAACTATGCAGTTAAAAGTAAGTTTTTTTTCCCCCGGAAGCAATGAGTTAATATTTTCTGGAAACACTGTATTGTTTATCCTATCTTTCTTTTCTGGGCCCCTATGCCTACTACAGTAAATGTTTGCTGAGAGAACAGATGCATAAGTGGTCATCTTGAAATGAATAAAATGAAACTAAGGCCTGGAAAGCTGGTGACTTCTAGAAGGTAGATTAAGAGTTGGTGACAGGGTTTAAAATTAGGAACTCTAAAATAGAGAAATATGTTGATGAAGCTGAATGATCTTAGGTATGTTAGGATTCTAAGAAATCTTTATCTTATGAAAAAGTGACTTTAATTTCATTTATAGGAACATGTTGTTTAGATAGTATAAGTTACCTTGACACAAACATTAATGCTTCTTAGCATTGTGCATTTGTGTGTATGTTTAAAAAAAATGTATCTCTAAAACATTGTTGTTCTTGTGCTTTCAGAGGAAGCTTGGAAGGAAAGAGAGAACAAAAGAGTTATAAAGCCGTCCTAGAAGACCCAATGTTGAAGTTTTCAGGGCTATACCAGGAGACATGCTCTGACCTTTACGTTACTTGTCAAGTTTTTGCAGAAGGAAAGCCTCTGGCCTTGCCAGTGAGAACGTCCTACAAGGCATTTAGTACAAGATGGAAGTAAGTTATTTTCTTGCATGTGGTGGATTCCAGACTGTTCTTTCATTTTTTTAGTAGACGCTGCAAGTATAGTTTAGTAAGAATTACAGAGGAATTTCTTAAATTTAATACCTAGATGCATTGATTGTATACTTTAAAGCAGTAAAATACTCAGATAAAGTATGATACATATCAGTATTATTACTGCAATTGAAATGGAAGTGTATTTATGTTTGTATTCAGTATATTAACATATTTTGATAAGCTCTTTACTGATTTACAACACGACCAAACCAAAACACTTCTGTGACATCTTTAAATCCTCTACCATTCTGTCCCCTTGAACACATGAACACATGTGGTTAGTCTGAAATGTCGTCCAACCTGATGTTTGGAGCCTAGTTTTTTAGAGAGAGATCTATTGTCATCTGTTCAGAAATGATTTTAAATATTATTTTAAATATGAAACTAAGTTTTTAGTTTCATGTTTTATTCAGTATGGAACTTTAGCAAAACATTGTTGGGATGCAGAAGAAATATAATGAACATGAGGTTCCCGTTTTTTCAGAACAGTATTGTGGGTCCTTAATCTAACCTCTTGACACTTCTTATTTGGTAGATAACATGGTACCATTCTTATATTTGATGAGTGTTATTCAGCACCCTGGTGGGCTCAGTGCAGGATACACAGATTATATGTTCTTAAGGAAGGGACTTATGCCCACAGTATTCATGGAAGACAAGATGTGGCCACATGGATAGACAGGCTGTGCTACTGAAGGTACAAGCCATTGTGTACCTACCAGGTATTGCCCAGTGGGGATGGGAAGTGTTTTTCAGAGAGAACAGAAGCCTGAGCTCTGGTGATCTGGCCACATCAAAACTGACAATTTTAGTGGTGTAATTTCTTTACTAGTCCTTTTGTGGAGGCACACCCACATCCACATGTATATATTTAATACTTTTTATTCTGGAAAATTTTAAACCTACGAAAGTATAGAGAATAACATAGTGAACTCCTAAGTCCCCATGAGCTAACTACTAATTTCTAACTCATGGTCAATCTTGTATTCCCACCCTTATTTTATTTTTGGCAGCTGGCCTGTATGGGGATCCAAACCCTTGATCTTGGTGCTATCAACACCATGCTCTAACCAACTGGGCTATCTGGCCAGCCCACCCACCATTATTTTGAAGCAAATTCCAAACATTATATCATCTTAAATGTATGTATTTATGTATATTTATTTTTAAAACATAATTATAGTACCATTATCACACTTAAAACAATGGACCAGAATTTCTTATGAGTATCAGAGATTCTTAAACTGGAATCATGAAGTCTTCAAAATCCTGAAATTGTATGCAAAATTTTATGTGTCTTTTGCATTTTTCCAGGGACAGTGTCCAAAGCTCTAATTAGATTTCTTGAGGTGGCCTGTTACTCAAAAAAGATTTAGAACAAGAAGGTAAACAACTATGGTGAATCCCACTTTTCCTAGTAAGGAAAATTGTATAGTGGTTTTGTTCAATGCCTCGACAAAAAGGGAAATTAGAGCAAAAGCAAATTCTCAATTAGGGGAAGATTAAAGTCTATCTCCTCCTTCCATTTGCTGACTCTTCTTTGCGTTATTTTTGTATTATATATTTGTAAGGATGTAAAAACTTTCATGTTTGCTTTCTAAAAGTTTGAATTTTTTTAATTTGCATTTTTTTAAACCATGAAACTATTTATTAAAGTAAGTACTCTAAAATGATGTAAAACTTTTTTTTTGTTTGTTTGTTTTTAATTAATAGGTTTAAGATGTGTGTAGAAAATAGAAAAAACCTTATTTGGGGTAAAGTAACATGAGGATAGGCTTTTTTTTTTTTTTTTTTTTTT